GAATGATGTCCAGACCCTAGGTCCAGATCTATACTTATACTATGTAAACTTAATTTATTATTTTTAACCCGCTCCTTTTTTACAATCGCTCCGAGAAGACTTTCATAAACCAATCCGAACCTTCGCCTAGTTAGAGTAATTAAACTAATTCCCTTCGTCCACTCCTCGAGAGATACGACACTCGGGGAGAAAACTAGCCCTTTACTGGGAAGGTTTACTACCCGAAAAACTACGACTGTCAAATGGCGCCGTTGCCGGGGAGTGGCACGGCAATAGTTTAATTTCTTCTGATTAGCTTGGGTGATGATTGGTGAGAACGATCTTCTCACTTCTTTTTCACCAGCCACCCGTAATAATTATGGATAATCCCAGTGGTTATTACGGTCCGCCTTCTTTCCACCAATCACCCAACCGCCCTCCGTTTCAAACCCATCCACCTTATCACGCACATCAATACCACTATGGTAATGACTACCTAGACAACAATAGGTCCGACTACTATCCCTACCATGAGGAACCACCATATGATACCCCGTCTAGAAACTTTGGATATTCTCCATACCAAGATCCTGATGGGGAGGATTATTATGAACCTCATGGTGATCAAGATGACTATGACCAATCTGGGCCTATGTATGACAATCAACCTGATCCTCTCGTCGAAGAAATCGTAAGATTAGAGCAGAAGATCATCTATTTCGACGAGGTTTTATTCGCTGAAGGCTCCTGGTACGAACCACCTTACTCCCGTGACTACACTTTGTTTGCTGAAGAACAAATTGAAGCAAACAAGGTGGCAATTCGAGAAAGAGCAAAACTTCTTGAATCAGTCCGGAAGGAAAAGGAGTCCGAGAGGAGATTATGCGAAGGATCAGAAATAATGGAGAAAATGCAAGAAGACGACTTTCAAAGAGAGAGACTAGAAGCTGAGTCTAAAGCCGATAAATTAGTCAATGATCTATGTATGGCTGTTGAACTTAAACGCTCCCTCCAATCTCAAGACCAAATAAGGGAGATTAATGTTCAAAAAGAGGCTCTAGGACCTAAGACCAACCCTGAACCCGTCAACCAACAGGTTCCAGTTCTAGAAGATTCACCCAGTTTTTCACCATCACAGAAACCCGAGAGCATAACAACTCTCGCTAGGGCTACTGTGGTGATGTTACCTAAATCCCTTCCTAGCCAAGTCACAACCAGCATAGTCGTACAAAAGGTGGAACCAACTGAGGGACCTGACTCAGAACCACCTATGCTTAGTCAAGAAAAGGAGGAGGAAGTTTTGCCTATAGCAATAAACAACCATCTCCTTAATTGTCTTGAAGACACACCTCCAGAGGAACCTGTTCTAGAGGAGATTGAGCCCACTACAAGCCCCCAAGATTCCAATGTCCGCGAGTCTAAGGAGGAACCTATAGATGAAGAAAAGCCAACTCCGTCTATAGAAACCTACGCAATCAATGATTCATCTTCAGACCATACTTTCTTTGACTCCCTACTTGACGGGTATGACTATGTCTGCCCGAAGGATGGTTGGAACTTAAAGAGTT